CGAGATAGCCATTACACCACCTGCTGTTCCTGGTTTCTTGCTTTCTGTCTCTGTCTCTGTCTCTCTCTTTCTGGCGAGCGCACACACCCTATAGCAAAAACCTCTCCAAAAAAAAAAACCTTTCAGATGACCTGATAACAGTTGCTATATAATGAAATATGAGCTCATTAATTTTCTTAGTATCAGACTTGGGGCAAACTAGGCAGCGGAGAGTGAATGTGTAGCTGTAGCTCCTTACTTCATGAACAGAAGAAAACGACATCTTCTTTGCTTTAGGGACTCCTTCTAGCTATTTGAGTCTTTTCATTGCCATTCTTCATTTTATTGCTTTTTGACTATGTGCTATTTTTCTTCATTGAATCATTGCATTGTGATAATTACAGTGATAGTGATGAAGTAAATCATTTTGGGATGGTCTCAATTTTAGCTTTGATAATAGCAAGAATATTTAAAGTAGGCCCAAATGTTACTAAATTGATTTTTTTTTTTTTTGGTATAGTAGCTTTCTGGCCCTGTGACCCTTAATATCCTAGTTTCCATTATCTAAGAGTCCAAATTTCCTTACCTTATAAATGTTCATAATTAGAATTTTATATAGTGTAAAGCCAGACTTTAAGAATATGTGATTTGGGAACAGCAGATGGCGTAATAGTTACATCACTGGGTTCTCACATAGTCAACCATTGTTTGAGTCCCAGACCCGGCAACTTAAAACTCATACCAGGCAAGTGCATGCATGCCCAAAATCCCAAGGAAAAGGGATTGCAGCATGGCTATCCCCTCTGGGGGGAATGACTTTTCACTGTCTCTCTGGTGAGCATGTGCACCCTAAGCAAAAAAATCTCTTACAAAAAAAAATATATATATATATGATTTAAGGGCCAGCAGGTGGCATAATGGTTAAGGCACTAGATCCCACATGGCCAGCTCTGCGGTTCAAGTCCAGACCTGGCAGCTTGCAAACATGCCTGGCACTTGTGCATGCATGCCCCAAATCCCAAGGAGACAATGGAGGAGAAGCAGTCCCCCTCCGGTGGGATGATTTCTCACTTTTCCTTTCTCTGTCTCTTTCCAGTGAGTACCTGCACCTTATGGCAAAAATCAAAAAAAGAATATGTAATTTATCTGGAGAGTTAGTCTAACCAAGCACCGAGATCCACTTGTCAACCTGCTTGCCTTGTTCCCCACTCAAGTTCCTTGGCATTGACGCTATCTTTTACTGTGTTTGTGGGGGAAATGAGAGCTTACTGTAACACTTGCAAACTTAGGGAAGTTTAAAAAGTCTTGGAACACATCTGTCAAATGTCAAGTGTCAGTTTATTCATCTATATGCTCAAAATGATTCTACCTATTTCTCATAATTATGAAACTTAAATAAGATCATGTATTAAATATGAGCACCAAGACTACATTCAAATATAGATATGGGGTGATTCAGTGGGTTGACACTGGAGTGATTAGTGGTTCATAGGCCATGAGGTAAGGTCAAAGCACTTCAGTGTTTTGGGGAAGGACAGGGTGGGGTCAGTTTTTCAGAACAAAAGTCTTTCAAACCTTGTGTCAATACACGTAAGGAACTATGGCTACAGAGAAACAGCGATAGAAATTAATAAAATTACACTCCAGTTTTTCAGTGACCTAGTTATAGACGTTACAACTAGATCCAAGAAGTAACCCAACTGGATTATTATGATAATTTCTTTTCTTTTTGCCTCAGGTTGTCCGGTATTGGATTTGATTCCAGTTAGTTTTGTTGAGATCACCTCTCTCCACTACCCTAACTTTTATCCTAACATGCTGAATTGCACTTGGACTTTTCATTCCATGTCAGGAAATAAAATAAAGGCAGTGATTAAAGACTTCATAACAGAAGAATCTTGGAACTGTGAATGGGATTATGTCAATATTTATGATGGACCAGATCAGCAATCAAGATTACTTGGTAAATTGATCTTTCTCAAATGGCCTGTCTTAAGTGGCAGGAAGTATTCATATAAGGTACATACATAGAAAACATGACCAGCATCTGTCTTGGAAATAATGTCATTTGTTCTAAGTGTCTTCTCATCAGATTCTGCATCACAATCCTGGAGTGTCCTGGATTGTGATGAGTGTGAGACCCCACATGGATCTTGACCCCGTAACCCTAGCTGTTGGTCTTTAATCCAGTGAGTTCTATCTCATTTTGCTGTTAGGAAACACTAATTTTGTTTTCCTGCAAAGGTCATATGTTTTAAGAACTTTCATTTTCTGAAGTTCATTTTTAGGTAACTTGATTGAACTCTTTTTAATTTATTTTTTCCTCATTGTTAGCAGTGTCATGGCTCATCCTCACAGGCATGGCTTGTTTTAGGCCTTGTGTAAATTTAAAAGGGGGAAAGGTCAATTATCTTGAATAATCTTTAACCACGTGGTATCCATCATGCATGACATTCATGCTTGATATCTGGTAATAGTCTGTTCTGAGACTTCACTCATACCAGGAAACTTTTCCAAAGATTTTGTAATCCAATATTGCATCATCTTCCCCTGTCTTCCAGTTCTGCCACTCTACCCTTTTATCTTGTTCTAATCTGTTAGGTGCTGTCGCAATCCATTTATCACAAAGAGCAAGAGAAGAGTTTTTGTTGCTATCTAATATTTCCAGAGACTTTGACCGTCTCCTGTAATGCTCCCAGATTTATAACACCAACAAATTTAGTGTTTTGTGTTAAAGTTCTAAAGTTACCCAGCTTTTTTATCAGTGACTTTGATCCCTCTAAAGGATTCTAAAGCAATTAGAGTGTAGGGGAGGGGAAGATACAAATGCTCAAGTTCTTCCTTCTCCTTAAAGTAACATGTCTCTGTAGCACACGATTCTGAAACCTTTACTCTTGTCAATTCTGTTTAGTCAAAGACCCTGGGAACATATGTGTAGTTGATCAAATTGGATTTATTACTCATTACAGAGAGAGAGAGAGAACACAACACTGTAGAAAATCATGAGGTGTCCCAGTAAAAGGGTATTAGGAAGGAGCTACGATAGGCTTTGGGCTTTGGATAATTTTGGACAGGGTCTCAGAAAATAGACTTTGTTATGGATTGGTTGCTGTCAGGAATCGGGGCGATTTTGGCTATCCCAATCGTAGAGAGATCTGACTAGGGTGAAGATAAAACTGTGCTTGGTGAAGAGGTAACACTCCCTCTTTTAGCCAAGAACGGGGGATGTTTGGTATTTTGGTGGTTGCACCTGGCCTTGTTTCTGTCTCCCTTGGTCAGGAACTCACAGTGTCCTGTCTGATGTTGATACTCTGTGATCTTGTTTATATCCAACAGAGCAATATGGTCTAGCAGCGAGCTTCAGAGCCATGTCTGGATGTCAGGACTACTTTTCTCTTTCTCATTCTTTAATATTCTCCAATCTGGTAACATAATTCTTTTTTAAAAGTTCTGATTAATTAAATTTCAGAGATGTCATAGGATTACAAATCAGACAACTCATATCTTTTTTTTTTTTCTTTCTTTTTCAATTTGCCAGTGAGACACAGAGAGAGAGGAAAAGGGATAAAGCACCCCCTCCACTGGGCATGGTCATGCTGTAATTCCCTCGTCTTACATTTCCCCATCCCATTGGGATTTTGAGCACAAGTCATGTGTGCCTGGCATGTTTTTCAAGCTGCTAGGGCTCGGATTTGAACTGCGGTTGGCCATGTGAAATCCAGCTCCTTTAACTACCAGGCCACAGGGCCAACTCCTAATGTGATGTGATGTGAGGAAATACACATTTGTTTGAGAGGTCATACAACTTTATTTCAATGACACGTATAATTTCCATAAGGATTTTTGAATTATTGGATATAGAAACCCACTGCCACTCTAAAACCCATAAAGGCTTTTATCTTGTTTTAGCCTTTTTGGGATGCTGTAACAAATACCATAAACTGGGTCACTTACATGCAGCAAATATTTATTTCTTACAACTTTGCAGGCTGAAAAGTCTAAAGTCCAGGTGTTGGAAGGTTCAGCGTCTGGAGAGGGCATTTCATTGGAAAAGGCATTCTCCCTGGATCCATCCTCACATGCTAGAAGGGCCAAGGTGGCTTTTTGAGGCCTTTCTCACCTTTCTTGGGACTCTTTCCTGAATCTGTTGTCTCAAGGTACCCTCAGTCTCACTTCCTCAATAATGTGGACCCCTGTTCAAATGTTACCTTATCTTTTTTTTTTCTTGAAATTTTAAGTTTATTTATAATATACACAAGCCATGCCTGACAACTAGGAAAATACTATTTACATAAAACATTGTAGATTTAAAATACACAGTATTTGTATTTTAATACAATAGGGCCCCAGGAGTCAAACTAAGTTTTATTCCAGACTGTGCATTATATAGTTTATTCGCTCTGCTACAAAGAACTACAATGGAGGTGAACTTTGGCAGTCAATACCTCACATCAAATAGTAATGAACTTCATATGCACGGCTTGGCATCTGTAGATGAAGATATGGTTTCTTCAGCATGCATGCCAGTTTCTGAATCTTCCACTTCAGAATCCTCGCCAGTTTCTTCTTCAGAATCAAATTCTTGACTATCCGGGGAGTCAAAGTTGTTCAGAGGTTCACCGGTCAGTCTCTCGATGACCTCCACCACATACTGCGTGTGCTCTGCTACTTGTGCCAGTTCCTTGTTCTCCTCCTTCAAGCGGGCAATTTCACTGTCCTTCTGCTCAATTTCTTCATGAAGTTTCTTGTTTTCCTGAAGTGCTTCATAGAGAGCCTCCTCCACTTTTCTGCCACTTCTTTCCAATACTGAGAAGATAGATTCTCTCTAATCATAAGATCAAAAGCTTCTTGGGTGACACCTTGGAGATTTTTATTTTCACTGTATTCTGAACCGGCAACAGCCCTAGAGCTGAAAGTCTTAGCTGGTAACTAGTCATTCCGATGTTTCCTTTTGGATAAGCTTTTGGACAACTTGTCTTCTATTCCAACAAGAGAGCCCGCTGCGGAAGCCTGCATCATCTTAGAGTTCTTCTCGGGACGGAGCTGTTCTTGGCATTCTCTTTCGCTTCTTCTTGTTCCTGCTTCATACTGGGGTTCATTGTGCTGCTGCAGCTGGTGGGGCACAGAGAGTGGCAGAGATGAGCATTCCTGTTACCTTATCTTAAGCCTCTTCTGTCACAGTGCCTATGAGACCAGCAGGTAAGGTGCTGGACTCCCACGTGGTCAACCGCACTTTGAGTCCTGAACCCAGTGGCTTGAAACTCGCGCTGGGCGTGTGTGTGTGTGTGTATGTATGCCCAAGATCCCAAGAAGAGAGTGGAGAAGAAGGGATTGCGAAGTGACCATCCCTCCTAGAAGGTATTTCTTGCTTTCTGTCTCTCTGTCTCTCCAGTGAGCACACACACCCTAGCAAAAATCTCTCTCTCTCCAAAAAAGAAACAAGGTCTAGATAGCCCCCCTCTGCCTTTTCTTGGCATCTAACATGACTTGTTATCTGTCTCTTACACCACAGGGAAAATTTCCTAAGAGCAAGATTTAATCACTCTTTCTCTCTCTTTTAAAAATTTGCCAGAGATGGTGTACTTGCTGGAAAGAGACAAAAAGGGAGAAAATGGGAAATCACCCTATGGGGGAGATGGCTGTGCTATAATCCCTTCTCCTTCATTCTCCTCTTGATATTTTGGACATGCACACCCAGGTGCTCAGCACATTCTTCAAGCTGCTGGACCTGGGACTCAAACCACAATCAGCCATGTGGAATCCAGCTGCCTTAACCTCCATGTCACCAGTTGGCCCTAGCAGGGAAATAGTAACAGAGTTGGAAAGAGAAAGGAGATGGTGACGTAGAAAGTGATATGTTTGAAATAAAATACTTGAGGCATCAAATGATTACAAATATGAAGCAGTGACTAAAGAATTAAAATACAAAGGAAATCACGGTGCCATTGCATGGTCAAATCTAACGTCAGCATTTAGCTGGCATGTGCCAGCTCCATCTCCTAAGAGCATCATAGTTGATGTGCATTGTGATTGGTTATTGCCTGTTCTGGTTATTAAATATTTTGAATATTATCCTTGGTCAAGCCAGGATATGCTGACAAACTGGAACACATCCAGGGAGCATAATGACTAGGAAGCTGTAGTGTGTGGACACCTTGGAGAAGAGAGAAGAGAAAAAGATCACAATATCTTGGAACCAGCGGTTGGAGTAATGACTATGTCACTGGACTTCCATGTAGTCGACTGTGGTTAGAGCCTCGGATCTGGTGGCTTAAACTAACACCGGGCATGTGTGCGTATATGCCCAAGATCCCAAGAGGAGAATGGAGGAGAAGGGATTGCAGAGTGGCCATCCCCCCCCGGGGGGGGTGATTTCTCGCTTTCTGTCTCTGTCTGTCTTTTTGGCAAGCGCACGTGCCCTATAGCAAAAGACTTCTCAAAAAAAAAAAAAAAAAAAAGATCACAACATCCTTTTTAAATATTTATGAAATTCGAATATAGAATCTCTCGGGCCATGCATGAAACTTACTCTACTTACCATTGTCTAGTAGTTATTATTTACCACTATTCAAGCATAGTCCTAAAACTCACTCTTCTAGTTTTCTTAACAATCTTAGGGAGGTGAGTTATATTATCCTTGGTTTGAATTTGAGGAAAGCTAGTTGCATAAGGATTGGATAAATTGCCCTTAGTGACATAGCTAATCTATAGAAAAAGTGAGATTTAAACCCAGGCCCTCTGTGTTCTTGGCCACTATACTCAGTGGTAGTCATCACATAGATGGCTTTTGAATCAGTGTGAAGAACAGTTACAAAAGCTCCTAACTTTCCTGTTATATCTGCAGGGCTGGTAATCAATTGGGTTATTTTATTGAGTCATTGGAAAAGTCATGACATTTTTACATCAAAAAACATGAAAAAATACATCATGACTTTTCCGATGACCCAACAGAAAGAACTCTGTTAGATGAGAGGTTGAGCTAAGTGACCCCCCAAAGTCTGAATTTACACTAGCCCCTTACCTCACCCAGCTTAAAAAAAATCACCAAAAGATGTATGATTCTCCAGAGAGAGAGAGAAAGTGAGAAAGCACCCCCTGTGGTACATGTCACACCACAATCCCTTCTCCATTTTTCCGTTCAGGATTTTGGGCACACATGCATGCAGTTGGTGCCTATTACAAGTGGCTGGGTCTGGCACTTGAACCTCGTGGTTGTCCATGTGAGATTCAGCTGACTTAGCTATAAGTCATGGGCTTGCTCCAAACCTACAGATCTTATAAATGTGTCATCTGTATTTCTGTCTAAGTTCTTAAGAGAACCAAGGATTGAACCATTTGTATATACACCACTGAGACCTTCCTTCCAGGGTGACATTTCTTATATAGTTATTTAGTCAGCTGTGGAACTTCCTAGTTACATAATTACCTACTTACCATTTCTATCTGTTCATTTGGATATCATTAGACACTTTATTAAATGCTTCACTGAAGTCAAGATTCATTAAGTTTGTCTTATTCCCTCTAGTCACTATCTAATTAGCTCTTTTAAAAAACTGAAATTAGGTTAATTTAATTTGGCATAGAAAGGATGCCATGCTGACTTCGTGTCCACTGATTCCTTCTCCAAGTGTTCACAAACCATCTGTTTAATGATTTGTTAAATTTTGCTTAGGTGCGTTTGTTTAATAGATATTTATAATAATTTATAAATACTAATTGATTTAATCCTATGTAAGGATTATCTTTATCTCCGTTTCACACATGCAAAAATTGAGGTATAGAGAGGGGTTAAGGCTGGCCAAGAGTTAATAAATGACAGAGCAGGTCCAAACCAGCAACTGGAGTGGAATATGTACCTCTTAGCACTAAGCCATGTTCCACTGGTAAGTGACCTTGGGCATTCCCTATGGCTCTGTTTTCTCTGTCTCTTACTCCCATAGCCCAAAACTCCCACACCCAACACCCTTCAGACTCCTTTTTGAAGACTAAGTAACATTTTTTTTCCATTTTCATTATTTTCAAACTTCCAGGGTATTTGTTGACTCTACCAGAATTCCTTATTTAACACTGTACATCCCCAAAGTTTCCTGACTCTTCCAGCTCGCCACACAGTGTCTTTGAGGATAAGAACAATGTGGAGATGAACTATCCCCCACCTTTCTTAGATTTCTGTGTTAACATTACCTTGGAGATACATCAATAGCATATCACTGTTTTATTTCAGGAGAAGTTTTGTAGAGAGAGAGAGTTTTGCTAGAGGGTGTGTGCACTCGCCGGAGAGACACAGAGAGACAGAAAACAAGGAATCAGCTCCCCAGGGACATGACCATGCTGCAATTTCTTCTCCATTCTCCTTGTGTGGTTGGAGTACCTGACCTAAGTTTCAAGTGACAAGGTCTGAGACTTGAGTTGTAGTCAGCCATATGGGAGTCCAGTGCCTTAACCACTATGCCATCTGTTGGCTCCCTGGAAGAATTTTAATTACAACAAACGTGCAGAAAAATTACAGCAAATATTTTGTCACTATTAGGATAGTTTTTGTGCCAACTTTTGTGTTTCTGAGTCAGTAAAGAGTCACTAGTATCTTGTATTTGGGCAGCCTGTCCCAACACTTTAGTTTTTCTATCCATTTATCTTCACCAACATGCCTAATCTCTCCCACTTTTAAGATCACAGATTGCCGTGAAGCTGTGTGCATTTTCACAGGAAGTGCTAACCCAGTCTGTTCTACTTGATCCGTTAAAAATCTATACTCTTTCACTGCTATACTCAAGTCATGAGTTCCATTCTACAAATCTTGATCTTACTTTTTTGAAAATCATTCCTTTTTAATATTATCAGTTCGGAACATGATGTTATCTCTTTGCCTTCTTTCAGTTATGTCTGCACAAGAGAAGCACTTTAATTATCAGTTCTCTCTCCCATTGCAGCTCATGTATGTGCTTCTAAGGAAGAATTGGTTTTGGTATCCAGCGGTGCTTACCTGACTGTGCATTTTAAGACTGATGAGTCTGTGGGAGAAAGAGGTTTTAAACTTACCTTGGAAGAGATGATTCAGAAGCAATCACTGGAAAGCTATATTGGGAGCCCCTTGACTATCAATGGTAAGTAGCTGTATGAAAATGCTTATTAATGTTTACTGGGGAGCGGTGATGGTACAACAGCAAAGCAAGACTCTCTGGGAGACAGACCAATGTGGGAAGGTTGACAGTTCACTTTTGGAGACTTCCCTAGGTACACTGGGATATGTGTGACTGTGATCTGGTCTCTCTCTCTCTTTCTCTCTCTCTTTTTCTCATTCTTCTATGTATCTCTCACTCATGAAATAAACAGATAAACTTTTAAAAAGTGTATTAAGGCAGGTACCACATACACTTTACAGTAGAATCTGGGAAAGCATTGTTTTTGTTTTTGTTGTTGTTGTTATTATTGTTATCATTTATATTTTTGCCATAGGGCACATGTGCTCACTGCAGAGAGACAGAGAGAAAGGTAATGAAAGGGAAAGTGAGCAATCACCCACTGGGGGGGAAATGGCCATGCTGTAGTCCCTTTTCCTCCATTCTTCTCCTGGGATTCTGAACATGCACACACATGCACCTCATGTGATTTTCAAGCCTCCAGGTCTAGGACTTGAACTGCAGTCAGCCACTGGGAGTTCTGCACCTCAACCATCATGCCACCTGCTGGTCCCACCATTGGTTCAGGGCCATTAGTAGTGACACTGCTCTAATACTGAAAACAGGTATCTTTCATTTCAAGCTATTCCTTAAGGCATGAGACCGATAGTTCCAAATTGATCATCTGAGGTAATAAAGTCAGATGGAGTGTGTGTGTATTATTTTTACTTAAGTAATGATAAACACAAAAGTCAGTCAACTGCTATTTAAATGATCCAGTGAGGGCTTTCGAGTTGAAAGAAACATGAAATGCATAACACAGACATAAATATAATTATTCTGCTTATCCAGTCTACTTTTAAGTCAGCATTTAGTAAGTTGTGCCTAAAATTTAACAACTCAATGAATCTGTTAGTAGGAAACTCTCTTGATTTGATTGTTATTCTGGGCAGAATTCTATTAACCTGCAGTGAAAGTTCTTCACGTTACTTTGTCTTTTTTTTTTTTTTTTTTTTTTTTTTTTTTTTTTTTTTGCAATAGGGCACGCGCGCTCACAAAAAAGACAGAGACAGAGAGACAGAAAATGAGAATTCACTCCCCAGGAGCATGGCCATGCTACAGTTCCTTCTCCAAGGATAGTCATACTCCTCCAGTCTCTTCTCGGGATCTTGGGCATACATGCACATGTGCCCAGCTTGAGTTTAAGCCACTGGTTCCGGGACTTGAACCATAGTCAACTACATGGGAGTCCAGTGACAGAGCCATTACGCCAACTACTGGTCCCCTACTTTATCTTTTTTAAGCCAGAGGAATGAATGGGGTTCTCTGAAAAATCCTTCATATGAGTTGTAAACTAGTGAACCACATCATCCCACAGAGGAGACTTTGCATTGTTCAAGACGGGTTCACTTAATTAACTCTTTTTCTGTCTCCCTTTCTTGCTTTCCATTTTTTCTCCCAGGAGGCATGTGCATTCATTAGAGAAAGAGAGAGAGAAATTGCCTCCTTACAGGGTATAGTCATGCCACAATCTTTTTCCTCCATTTCTCCATCCAGTCAGGATGTGGACACACGTGAGAATGTGCCCATCATGGTTTTCAAGCCATCAGGATCAGGATTCAGTTTGCGATGGGCCATGTGGGATCCAGCTCTCCATGCACAGTGCTAACTGTCTCATCATAGGCTCGCCTCTTTCCATCATCACACCTCTAAGCTGACCCTTTATTCTAGAGTAAAAATAACAATGCTGCCTCATTTTTTGAAAGTATTTCTTTTTTGTAAGTTGAATATTAATAAAATATTGCTATTATACATGTATACAGCCCAAAGGTCTAAGAGAAACCAGATATTCTGTGGATTAAAATCTAGCCTTACTGGGCCAGCAGGTGGCATAGCCGTTGAAGCACTGGGCTCCCCTATAGTTACCCATGGTTCAAGTCCAAATCCAGTATGTTGACACTCACATTGGACCCGTGTCATGCCTGTCCAAAATCACTAGAAGAAATAGAAGGGATTGAGGCATGGCCAGGTCCCTCGGGGGTGATTTCTTATTTTCTTTTTCTCTGGTGAGCACATGCACCTGATAGCAAAAGTCTGTGAAAAAAAATTAAAATAAAAAAATCTACCATTAAACTTAAGGTAGCAAAAATAATTTTGAATAAATACTTTTGCATGTTTTCTTCCTAATATCTAGAAAAGTTATAATTTTGAAGAATTTGCTTATTTTTTGGCACATATATTTAAAAGAAGGAGGAGATTTATACATATTTGACAAGAAAGTAAAAAAGTTGTGATCAATTATATCAAACACAAAGACATTATGGTAGAAACTTTTCATTGTAAATAAATTTCTGATGTAAAGTAAAAATCTTCAATAAGGCATTTAACAAGTGAGCATATCTTTTACTTTCCAAATTATATGTGTATTAAGAAGCTTAATTTTCTTCATATTGGAAGATATCCCTACTCAGCAAGTAACATGTTGTTAAAGGTGTTGGACACCTACACGGTTGTGATTCAAGTCCCAGGACTAATGGCTTGGAAAATCACACCAAGTGCATGTGTGTATGTGCCCAAAATCCCAAGAGGAGAATGGAGGAGAAGGGATTGCAGCATGGCCATCACCTCTGAGGGAGGTGATTTCTCACTTTCCCTCTTTCTGTCTCTCTCTGCCTAATGCATGTGCATTATGGCAAAAAACAAACACACAAACAAAAAACAAACCTTAAAAATAAAAATACTGAGAATGGAATAAAGAGTGTTATATGGGAACCAGCAGTTAGTGTAATGGCTATGTCGCTGGACTCCCACGTAGTCGACCGTGGTTCACATCCCGGACCCGGTGGCTTAAATCTCACGCCGGGCGCATGTGCGTGCGTGCCCAAGATCCCGAGAGGAGAATGGAGGAGAAGGGATTGCAGCGTGACCATCCTCCCTGGGGGGTGATTTCTCGCTTTCTATCTCTATGTCTCTTTCTGTCTGTCTGGTGAGCACACACGCCCTATAGCGAAAACTTCTGCAAAAAAAAAAAAAGAGTGTTATAAATAAAAAAAATCTTTAATGTATATATTTCTTATTTGTGTAGTATAAAGTATTTCGAAATATCTAGATAAATATGGTGAGATAACACAAATAATGCTGCAGAAAGAACAAGGTCTAATACTTTTATATTGGGTGCAATATTTTTCTTTTTTTTGAAAGTCAGTGTACCTTCTGAATTTTCTAAAGATGCATATATTAATACTTTAGCTAATGTTATGGAACTACTTATTCTAAAAGTAGTACAAGGCCCAACCATGGTAGCACACTGTGCTATTGCTTGGGAAGCTGGAAGCTGCATGAGAGGTCTGGGTTCAGTTCTCGGGCCAACCTGAACACACTGGGTACATTTGTACACACTGTAATCCTAATGGATTAAGAAGCCAGGGCTGGCACACTGTGACACAGTGAGATCATGCCCTCTACCCCCCCAAAAAAAGAAAGTACTGGAAAAGATAAAGGTCTCCATCTTAGGAGGAATTCTGACTCTGAATCTATGAAAGAAATAATAGCTCCACTGTGAGATTATAGTAGACTTTCATAAGCATGCTAATCTAAAGTTTTGTTGTTTCTTTCCTAAGATAAGGCAGTAGAAACTAATACAGGCAGCTGGCCGACCGGAGACAAATGTGGAGTTCCAGTCGTTGACCCATTTCTAATGGAAAAGTCTGAAGGAAGTGTCCATGTGCAGCCAGCCATCCTGGGGGAGCCCAGGATGGTTGGTGGCCGAGCTGCACCTGCAATGTCATGGCCCTGGCTGGTCAGCCTGTGGCACCAAGGGCAGCATTACTGTGGAGGCGCCCTGATCGGGAGGCAGTGGGTCCTCACAGCCGCGCACTGCAGCTTCAGGTATGTGTCTGTGGTGCAATGGCTCTGAGGCTGTTCCAGTGCTCATGGTGGGTGGGCTTCCTCTGCTTTCCCCAGATGATGAGAAACATGTAGCTTTAAGCCCCCACTGATACAGTCCCCAGCTTCTAAAATAACAAACATGAACAACAAACACAATGAAATTTTCTGTACTTCACCAACACACTTAATTTTAAAAGCTGTTTCCTGCTTCCAGGTGTTTCTTTAATAAGTAACTCAGTGTTCCCCCTTCTTTCCTCATCTATGAAATGAAGATAATGATATCTTAACAATGTTGCATTAGTCACTGAACACAGGACCTAGAACACTGAAATTGCTCAACTGTGGATTCTTTCGTTGTTGTGTTCTCCTTTGCTGACTCATCATCATACCTACTTGTCCCAGCAATCTGAAGTTTTGAAGGATGTTGAATTTACTTTCAAAGAAAAAATGGATTTGATTTCATCAGACTCTTGCAGCAATGTGATAGTGAAACTCTGGAAATTCTGTCCCCACTTAAAAGTTCCCCAGAACTTATTAGAAGTCTGATATTTTGGGGCCAACAGGTGGCATGGTGGTTAAGGTGCTGAGCTCCCACTCCAGATGACTGCAGTTGGAGTCACGGATTGGGTGACTTGAAACTCAGGCTGGGCATGTGTGTGTGCCTTTGCCCCCAATTTTTTTTTTTTTTTTTGAGAGGTTTTTGCTATAGGGCTCATGCGCTCACCAGATAGACAGAGAGAGACAAAGAGACAGAAAGCGAGAAATCACCCCCCAGGGGGGATGGCCATGCCGCAATCCCTTTTCCTCCATTCTCCTCTCGGGATCTTGGGCACGCACGCACACACGCACCCAGCATGAGTTTTAAGCCACTGGGTCCAGGACGCGAACCGTGGTCGACTACATGGGAGTCCAGCGACATAGCCATTATGCTTACTGCTGGTCCCTTTGCCCAAAATCTTGACAGGAAAACGAAGGAGAAGGGAATTGTGGCATGGCTATCTCCTTGTGTAGTGACTTCTCACTTTCTGTCTCTGTCTGCCTGGCAAACACACATATCCTATTGCAAAAATCTCTCTAAAAAAGTCTGATATTTAAAATATTTTTTAATTTCCAGAGTGTGTATGTACTTGTCAGAGAGACAGAGAAAGAGAGAGAGAGAAGAAGGCACCCTCCTTCCAGGATGGGGAATGGCCATGCCGCGATCTCTTTTCCTCTATGTCTCCATCCTGCTGTGATTTGGGTATGCGTGCATGCACACCTGGTGCTTTTGTTTGGTTTTTAATAGGGCTCAGTCACTCACATGAGAGACAGAGAGAGAGAAAGACAGTGAGAAATCACCCCCTGTGGAGGCAGATGGCCATGCTGCCATCCCTTCTCCGTTTTATTCATGGGATTTGGGGGGCACACACACACACAGACACACCAAGAATGATTTCCAAGCCACCATGTCCAGAACTCTAACCACAATCAGCCATGTGGGAGTTCAGTGCCTTAACCATCATGGACCTGCTGGTCCCATACCTGGTGTGTTTTTCAAGCCACCAAGGCCTGGATTTGAACCACAGTCAGTTGTGTGCCTTAACCACTCGTCTGTGAGCGTGGCCCTGATTTTTAAAATATTGGTTTCCCAGAAGTAGTAAGATGGTTGAGGCCACATGCCATGTCCCATAGCTGTATGATTAGATACAGTGTTTTGATGATCTCCAAAGTAGTTTTTATAATAAAAATATCTGCTCAAATAATTTGGCAAGTAAGACCCTTCAAAAATCACAACCTCATTTTCTTACCTTTGAGTATATAAATCAAGAAGGCATCCTTAATAAGGCAGTTTTTAGTCTTTTCAATATGCTCCAAATTATCTGGAGAGTTTGTCATAAATGGAATTTTAGAATCTTGGTGCTGAATTTTGATTTGCTAAGTTGCATCTGGGATTCTACGATTTTAATGCAATGTCAGATTTAGCACATGGGGTCCCTAGATAATTCTTTGAGAAACATTATATAAGGGGTAGAATAAATACAACTTTCAGGAGAGCTTTCGGTAACCATTATATAAGTATATAATGTGTAGTATTATGTTTAAAATAAAGCATAGAATTATTATCTTGAGGCACCATGAATCTTCATGTTTCGTTTGATGCAAGAAAGTGGTACGTTAAATTTTTTTTTTGCTCATTGAAGTTATTAACGAGAAACTCTTATGTTTTCAAGAATCCAAGGTAATAAATGTTTAATATAGAATAAGAATGTAAAAGGATATATTTTGGGTAATTATCAGAAATTACTATGGACTTGTGAAAAGTGGTATCTATTCTCCCCACCCCCCTTTTTTTCCCTTATGATAAGTACTATCACAGACAAGCTGGTAATAGGAAGAAGTTACCTCGGGAACCTAGGAAGTAGTGATTTGATACCAGTGAAAGCTGTATACACTCACCCTGGCTTCTCACAATTTCCTCCTAATGATGATCTATCATTGTTACGTCTGGAAAAACCCATCCAAATAGGTCAGTATGGGTAACTCTTTTCCACATTTTGAGCCTTTACCATGCAATTTATATCTTTCATCTTGCTTAGAAGTGCTCTATGTACTTTTTTAAAAAAAATTTTAAAGAATTATTTATTTGTTATTTTTTTTAATGGGATTTTAATAAAACAATTATTATTATTTCAATTTACTAGAGGGTATGTACACTCACCAGAGAGAGAGAGAGAAAGAGAGAGAGAGAGACAGAAAGTGGAAAAGCAAGCTGCCAGATTCCAAACTCAACCACGGTTTGGTCATGGGGAGTCCAGTGCCTCAACCACCACACCACCTGCTGTCCCTGCACCTTTGAAGTGATTATTTCAAAACTGTCTTACTTTTAAGCTACTTTCTTTCAAAGGCGAAATACCTGCATAAGCACCTTACTTTATACACATTTAATTGATGGAGGTCTAGAGGAGATTTGAAAGAGATTTGCTTTTAACCTTGTTCAATTTTTCTTCTCAGGTTTTTTTTTACGTCCTGTGAAATTATTCCATATATACAGACAGGAGTCTGAGCCATCAGATGTTCAACTTTCTGTATCTTCATGACTTAGTAAAATCTTGTCTAACGGTGACTTAAACCAAGGCTAGTGTGAACATTTAGTGGGGCCTCTGTTCCTCAGTTTTATGTATAAAGGGAACAAGGGCACCCTAACTGCCACTTAGCAGTGGTGGCCATTCTGTGAAAAAGCCCCTGGATTTCACATGCATGGGTTTCCATGAAATTGCAGGGCCCTGGAAAAGGTGTCTGACTCTTTAGCTGTTCCTCTACCAATAACCTTACTTTCCCCCTCTGTCTTCCCAGTGTGTTCCTCTGCAGACCCCGTCTTCGTTCAGTCTAGTGTTTGCTTTCTCTGCTCTTACAACTGGGACCGTGAACATGTCTAGGGCAGTGCTTTTACATCCTGGCTGCACATTGTAATCTCTTGGGCTGCTTCAAAACAAAACAACCTACAACTTGTAGGCCAGGCCACAAGTCTGGGATGCGTGGTACAGTTTACACAGGGGAAAATGACAACACTCTAAATGTTTACCAATGTGATTTAATTAATTTGGGTACATTCATTATCATGTCTTCTGAGTGCTATTGAAAAGAATGATGTAGTAGAGCTATATACAATGATCAAAAAAGATATGACCATAATGAAAACATTCAGAACAAGGAAAATGGCTGATTAAAAAGTAGAATGCAGGTTCCAACAGATGGCATAATGGTTACGTCACTGGACTCCCATGTACGTACTCAACCACGGTTCAAATCCTGGACCAGCAGCTAAACTCTCGTCAGGCATGTGCGCATAAGTGCCCCAGATCCCGAGAGGAGAAAGAATTATGGTGTAGCCATCCCCCAGCAGGGTGATTTCTTGCTTCCTGTCTGTCTTTCTCTATCTCTCCCATGATCGCATGCACCCTGTAGCAAAAATCTCTCTCACTCAAAAAAAAAAAAAAAAAGTGGAATGCATTAGTATGAGGAAAATGTTTCAGCTTGTGCAGGTCTGGCAGGAAATGATATGAGAGCACAGTGATGGGCTGTAAAAGCAGCGTAGAATAAGATTTAGAACCCATTGGCCCACGCGTACAGGCGAATTAGAAACAAAAGGACAAGGTACAAAGAGTTTTATACAATTTTATTGAGATAGTAAAAATGAACAAATTATGAAAATAAATGGCCCAGGAAAGCAAATCTACTGAAGCACTAAAATATGTGTAGTCTGGATAGAAATAAAGTCAAACAGCATGGGAAAATAAACCCGGGAGCACAGCATTGTGTGTGTGTGTTCCATGTACACACAGACATATGAACCCACAGTGGTTATCTATAAACACACTCTGGTGACTTAAAAGAGAGGAATATTGAAATGTATAAAGTGTCAACATCCTTTATGTTACCCTTCAGAATTAGATATAAAAATGCTTTTAAAACTGAAAGTACTACAAATGTATTTTTTTCCTATTCCTCATGTAGTAAGGTGGAAGAAAGAATGTAATCATGTCTTTTCAAATTGGATAGTCAGTACAGCATTATTTAAATTTTGCTGGGTTGCGGGGACCAGCAGATGATGTGGTGGTTAAGGCACTGGACACTCCCACATGGCCGACCGTGGTTCAAGTCCTGGATCTGATGGCTTGCTTTCTCACTTACTTTCTCTCTCTCTGGTCAAAATAAAATAAATGAATGAATAAATAAAATGAAAAATAAATAATTCTTTAAAAATTTTTTTGCTGGATTGCAAATTTTCAGGACAGCAAGAAGATGTCCTGGAGGCACATGGACAAAAAGGCAGATGTAGTTTAAAAAAAATGGTTATGAATTTAAAAATAAAGATCCTCCATCTCAGTGTCAGGTGTGTGTTCCTGTTGTCTTAGAGTGATATGAAAATACCTGTAGCAAACCGATATCATGTAAATTGGGATGGACTCCTCTGAGAAATTAATAGACAGTGTCTTCTGGAAGACATTTATTAAATCACAGGGTTAAACATAGTACTGGGGCCCAGCAGATGGTGTGGTAATTAAGGCACTGGACTTCCACATGGTGGACCACAGTTTGAGTCCCGGACCTAGTGGCTTGCTTTTTCACTTTCCCTTTCTTTCTCTCTCTGGTCTTTCTCTCTGGTCAAAATTAAAACAAATAGGAAACAGCAGTTAGCGTAATGGCTATGTCACTGGACTCCCACGTAGTCGACTGCGGTTCAAGTCCTGGACCCAGTGGCTTAAAGTCACGCCAGGTGCATATGCGTGCATGCCCAAGATCCCGAGAGGAGAATGAAGGAGAAGGGATTGCAGCATGGCCATCCCCTCTGGGGAGTGATTTCTTGCTTTCTATCTCTCTGTTTCTCTGGCGAGCGCACACGCCCTATAGCAAAAACCTCTCCAAAAAAAAAAAAAAGAAAAAAAAAAAAAAAAAATGGGAAATAAC